ATACTAATTTACAAATATGCTAAATGATTTTAATATATGTATCTTTGATATGTTAGGTAATATTAATTTTAAATGATTTTAGAATAACATGCGCAGATTTAAATTTCACATCGTGAATATATTTATATAAGTGTATATTTCAATTTTTTATATAAGATTTTATTTTTATTTTGAATAATTATTACTGCAAATTAGTATAAGTGCACTAAAAAATTTTAGTGCAAAATAAAAACAATGACAGAGACTAAAAAAAGTGATTGATTTTTAAACTTTATTTTTTTAAATCTTTCATCACATTTTTTATATTGCATTTATGTTCAACATTCATATATGAAAAAAAATTGTTTAATATTGAAATAAAAGGAGATGTAGCTCAATGGTATTATCCTTCTTAATTGGCTATGACATTCGGAGATCGGAACCCTGCATCTCCAAATATATATATATTTTTTTTGTATATTAAAAATTAATACTATTTTTTTAAATTTAAAACATAATATATTTTTAATGTGTAAGTGATATCAATTATCCTTATACTTGCTCAATTTTTCACATAGTGATCTGATTCTATCTTTTCTATTTATTAATTTTTTCCAGAATCTTCGCTTCGTTTATTTATTTTTATTAGCAATATTTATTTAAAAGTATGCTAAATGATTATAATATAAGTATCGTAGATATGTTTGGCAATTTTTCAATTTAAATGATTTTAAATCACATGCGCAGATGCACATTTCACAACGTAAATATATTTATACATACGTATATATCGATTTTTTATATAAAATTATGATTTATTTTTAACAATTATTACTTCAAATTGATATAAATGCACTAAATTACAATTTAGTGCAAAATAAAAACAATGTCGAAGACTTCAAAATGTGATTGATTTTTTCAAGACTTTATTTTTTTAATCTTTTATCGCATTTTGTATATTCAAATTATTTTTAACATATATGTATGAAAAAATTCGTTTGGTATTTAAACATAAGGAGATGTAGCTCAACATTATTATCATTCATATTTGAGTGTGACATTCTGGGATTGAAACCCTGCATCTCCAAATATATATATTTTTTGTTATTTACAATTAAAACTACTTTGTTTTGTAAATTTTAAACTTAATATATATTCAATGTGAAAATGAAATCCAATATCGTTATATTTTTTCAAGTTTTTCACATAGTAATCGGATTTCATCTTTTCTATTTATTACTTTTTTCCAAATTCTTAACTCTGTTTATTTAATTTTATTTGCAATATTTATTTACAAGTATGCTAAATGATTTTAATATAAGTATCGTAGATATATTAGGCAATTATTCAATTTAAATAATTTTAAATCACATGCGCAGATGCACATTTCACATCGCAAATATATTATACATACCTATATATCGATTTTTTTATATAAAATTATAATTTCTGTTTAACAATTATTACTTCAAATTAATATTAGACGTGGGTTTGGATCTTTCGAATAACGTGCCTCGGAGTCTGAATTTCATTTTCGAAGCAATTCCAGCTTCAAAGCATTTTCGCACCTTTCCTTTACTACGATAGATGACCCACTACTATAATCTTTTTGGTTCTTAAAAAGAAACAGTTTGAGAAGGTTCAATTGGCTGAAATGAACAAGGCATTCCAATCTCGATTCCAGATCAACACAAATTCCTCTATGACTTCACTTCGAAAAGTTTGTTCACTTCGCTCTCTTACTTTGTTTAAATCAATTTATTTATTGACAATTTAGTGCAAAACAAAAACAATATCGAAGACTTCAAAATGTTATTGATTTTTTAAGACTTTATTTTTTTTTTAATCTTTTATCGCATTTTCTATATTCAAAATATTTTTAACATGCATATATTAAAAAAAAAACGTTAGGTATTTAAACTTAAGGAGATGTAGCTCAACGGTATTATCTTTCGATTTGAGTATGACATTCGGGGATCGAAACCTCGCATCTCCAAATATATATACTTTTTGTAATTTACAATTAATACTACGTTTTTTTTGTAAATTGTAAACTTAATATATATTCAATGTACAATTGACATCCAATATCGTTATATTTGTTCAAGTTTTTCTTATAGTGATCGGATCCGTCTTTTCTATTTATTACTTTTTTCCAGATTTTGCACTTTGTTTATTAAATTATATTTGCAATACTAATTTACAAGTATGCTAATTGATTTTAATATAGGTACTTCTGATATGTTAGGTAATATTAATATTAAATGATTTTAGAATAACATGTACAGATTGAAATTTCACATCGTGAATATATTTATATAAATGTATATTTCAATTTTTATATAAGATTTTATTATTATTTTTAATAATTATTACTGCAAATTAATATAAATGCACTAAAAATCCATTTTAGTGCAAAATAAAACAATATCATAGACTAAAAAAATGATTGTTTTTTAAACTATATTTTTTTAAACCTTTCATCACATTTTTTTATATTAAATTTATGTTCAACATTCATATATGAAAAAAATCGTTTGGTATTGAAACAAAAGGAGATGTAGCTCAATGGTATTATCCTTCTTAATTGGCTATGACATTCGGCCATCGAAACTCCGCATCTCCAAAGATATTTTGTTTTTGTAATTTCAAAATAAATACTATATTTTTTTTAAAAAATTTTGAACTTAATATATTTTCAATCTGTAAGTGATATCAAATATCCTTATACTTGCTCAAGTTTTCACATAGTGATCTGATTCCATCTTTTCTATTTATTATTTTTTCCAGATTTTTCACTTTGTTTATTTAATTTTATATGCAATATTTATTTACAAGTATGCTAAATGATTTTAATATAAGTATCGTAGATATGTTAGGCAATCGTTCAATTTAAATGATTTTAAATCACATGCGCAGATGCACATTTCGCATCGTAAATATATTTATACATACGTATATATCGATTTTTTATATAAAATTATACTTTATTTTTAACAATTATTACTTCAAATTAATATAAATGTACTAAAATACAATTTAGTGCAAAATAAAAACAAATATCGAAGACTTCAAAATGTGATTGATTATTTAAGACTTTATGTTTTTAATCTTTTATCGCATTTCTATATTCAAATTATTTTTAACATACATATATGAAAAAAAAAAACGTTAGGTATATAAACATAAGGAGATATATGTAGCTCAACAGTATTATCATTTGGATTTGAGTATGACATACGGGATCGAAACCCCGCATCTCCAAATATATATATTTTTTGTAATTTACAATTAATACTACTTTTTCTGTAAATTTTAAACTTAATATATATTCAATGTACAATTGGAATCCAATATCGTTATATTTGTTCAAGTTTTTCTTATAGTGATCGGATTCTGTCTTTTCTATTTATTACTTTTTTCCCGATTTTTCACTTTGTTTATTAAATTATATTTGCAATACTAATTTACAAGTATGCTAAATGATTTTAATATAGGTATCTTTGATATGTTAGGTAATATTAATTTTAAATGATTTTAGATTAACATGCGCATATTGAAATTTCACATCTTGAATATATTTATATAAATGTATATTTCAATTTTTTATGTAAGATTTTATTTTAATTTGAATAATTATTACTGCAAATTAATATAAATGCACTAAAAATACATTTTAATGCAAAATAAAAACAATGTCATAGACTAAATAAGTGATTGATTTGTAAACTTTATTTTTTTTTTTTTTTTTAATCATTCATCACATTTTTTATATTAAATTTTATGTTCAACATTCATATATGAAAAAATCGTTTGGTATTGAAACAAAAGGAGATGTAGCTTAATGGTATTATCCTTCTTAATTGACTATGACATTCTGGGATCGAAACCTCGCATCTCCAAATATATTTTTTTTTGTAATTTAAAAATTAATACTATTTTTTTTTAATTTTAAACTAAATATATTTCAATGTGTAAGTGATATCTAATATCCTTATACTTGCTCAAGTTTTCGCATAGTGATCTGATTCCATCTTTTCTATTTATTATTTTTTTCCAAATTTTTCACTTTGTTTATTTAATTTTATTTGCAATATTTATTTACAAGTATGCTAAGGTGAGTATCAATCTATATCTTGTCCTTCATAACTCTTGCAGTCATTCTTACATTTGTTGATAACAATGAAACCAGACATTCAGGGAAAAGAGTGAATGAAATTGAAAACCAAGCTACCACCACTCCTCATATATCACCTTCAACAAGAATGAATGAATCAAATCATTACATCCCTATAGCATCTCAAGGATCACACAACAGTCATTCAACTATACTCGTTCTGGTAGATTTACCTATAGAAAGTCGGACAGACCAGGAGAATGTTGGTCAAGATACAAGACATAGACATTACATGGTGACTAGAGCAAGGGAAGGAATTTACATACCAAAGATATACACTGATTGCAT